ATCCCATGGGGAATGGGAGCAGTAACAAAGGTGTTGCGTTTATATTTTTGTTGGGTGTAAATAAAACTAAAACAGTGGTTTAGTGTTCAGGTAATGATAAATAAATAAACTTAACGGTGACATTTAGCGGTGATCAAGTACTTAAGGATGAATGGAGGATTTGATTGCAGACTGCATGAGAGCTGTTGTGGTGAGGGGAAAATGAGGTTGGAAGAGTGAGTTAACAGGTTAATGTATGCGTGTTAAAAAAACCAACAAAGAAAATAAAAAAGAGAGAAAGAGAGTGATGAAAGCAAAGAAAATAAAAGTGTGGAAGTGTGAGTGAGTATTTGTCTCCGACTGGGGAAGCAGTGATAGCAGAGGTCACCTTCTTCCCCTGCTGGACACAAAAAGAAAACATGATTTGGAGTGTGGTGGATGAAAATAATTAACAACAACATTAAGAAGGTTTTTGTGTTCGCGGTTAAAAACAAATAAAATTTCACCGTTGGGGTTTAAAGTCAGTAGAGTTCAAAACAAAATAAGTAGAGATGTGTTGCTTTAGGAGTGATGAAAAAATCTGGAGTCACAGTGACTAATGAAAGTCTCTCCGTCTGTCGTTTACAGGTGGGGAACGGACCTGGATCAATTCTCCACGGGCAGCAGTCGGAAGGAAATTATAGGTTGAAATCCTTAGAAACAAAATAAAAACACTCAGCCAGAATTTTTGTTGAATTGTTTTGCAGCTCCACATAATTTGTGTTGACCCACTATGGACTTTCAGTCGTATGTCTCTTCCTCAAAATTCGAACTGCGACAATATATATATATACATACACACATATATAGTTGTAAATTCTGAGGATTACTGCACCCTTGTAAGACAAAGTATATTTTGCCAAGAACTGCTTATCCTGACCCTTCATTGCTCCTGTTTTTGGATGAAGTTGATGACGTGACAGCTGTTCGATGGTGGTTGGCTCTCTCAGGGTAGGAGTGATACAGTCTGTCACAGTCTGAGCACAGCCCCTGGAGGCAGGTGAGGCAGTGGGCTGAGATGCGAAATATTCCACAAATAGCGCAGTTCTCTGTGAAACAAAACAACAATGACACAACACTGCTTTCTGCTATAATTTGTACCCACTCACAGCAAAGATTCATCATTGTTTTGCAATGTAGCACATGATACGCTGTTAAATCTAGACTTAGAAAGTGTAAAAATACAACGTAAAAATTCATAATAATTGGAATCTTTCCTTCCAGAAGTTGAGGCTCAATTCGCACATCTGGCCTTCAGGGTAAATGGACTGCTTTTCTAGGCCTACAGACTGAAGCTATATTTCCAAATCATATGTCACACACTCACATCCACATTATGATGACACATTGATGGAAGTTGAGTGTCTTTAGCATCAAGACTGAGGACGTCAGACATCAATTTGTCAGCTAACCTGTATGTTTGCTTGAGAAGGTGGAAAAGACCTGAATGGACCTGAGGCTTTGGTTGTTGGCAGAGAGCGAGTGGCTACGGTTGCTCTCCCTGGAGGATCGACGGTATAGGGAAAAAGCTAGAGACTTGGTCTGGCTGTCTGCATGGCGTGACGAGATCACAGCATCAGTGTTGAGTCCCACATCCTAAGAAAAGAGAAAAGTGGCTGAAGGCTGGCTTTAAAACTAGAGCTGGTTCACTGATGGTCTGATAGTATATTAATATCAACATGGCTTCATTAAAAATGCAATCATAAAGACAACGTATGTAGATAATAAGAGGAGGCCAATAAAGCTGGAAATCTGAAAGTCTCTATTTAAACTGTGGATGTATGGACAGAATTCCTCCCCTCACTTGTGAACAAGACCCCAAGTTTGTCTAGGGAGCTTGGGAAGAAAAGCGTCTGGAAGTTTCTTGAAGATGTTTCAGCTCTCATCCGAGAAGCTTCTTCAGTTCTAAGAGGAGTTGGCGGAGAGTCACAGATTTTTAGCCCTACTGGGAGTGTCTCTAAGAGGGCCGTGGATCCCGTATTGTTCCTCTGCCTAATGATGGTCGTTCATCTTTGAACAGAGGCTTACGACACCAACTGTCTGTCATTTCGTATTATAGCCCACTCACATCTTGGGCCATTTCATCTCAGTACCACAATAGGGTGGGACAGGGTCTCACAATGGGTTCACCTGAAACCTTGGTTAAAATGCAGGAGTTAACAGACACCCATTTTGACACCTTGGCTCGTGTGATTAGGCAGAGGTGGTCCTCGGGGGTGGGGGGGTCCTCGACCCTCTTGGGGATACTCCCAATAGGTCTTAAAAATCTGGGACTTTCCACCAAATGCTCTTAGAACTGAAGAAGCTTCTCGATGAGAGGTGAAACATCTTCAAGAAACTTAAAGAAGTCCAGACGCTTTTCTTTCCAACATACCACGATGACCTGGATGACTGAGAACCTTCACAGACAAGACCCCAAGATGCCTAAACTCTCTCATTTGGGGCAGCAAGTCCCTGCCCTGGCTAATTCTAATGCTAATTCTCATATCGAACACTATCGAAGCTGAAAATCTCCACTTGAGAAAGCCAAAAAAGCCAACTGTTTCAAAACCACAAAAGAGCAAAATAATTATTAATTGTGGACTATAAACATTAGGTCACTCTGTTTCCATTTGTAAAAAAATTAACAATTGATCAAAACCTGGTTACAGGAGCAGGTATTAAGGTTCAACATACCCAAGTCAGTCAAAATATTGGTAAAGTTTATTTGAAGGTTTATTTGAAGAGTGTAAGTCAGCATTTAAAGGCAAGAGTGAAACTAATGACTAATCTGACAGAGGACTCATCTCTGTGCTTGTCCTGTTAGACAAACGTATAGCCACATCGACCCACAGTACAATTACACCCAGCCCGAATAATTATATTATATCATTTCAATAATTTCAAATGTCAATTATTAATGGCCTGTTGGTATATGGCATCCGAATCTTCAGCCCTGCTGAGAATCTATGTAGCCGGGGTCAGACTTCATTTTCATGAGCACACAATGCGGCCAATCACATTAAAAAGACTGACTGGGATCATACCACGATGTGAAAGAAGGAAGGTGGGCAGACGTCCTGGAGACAGCAAGTGTAGCGGTACAGGCTGGGTACGCCGAGAGACATGGGAGAGGGATTTGAATGCAAGCATCTCAGGGAAAAATGAGCAGCATCTGGCCGCATTTCAATGATACTGGAGACTACAAAGCTGAGTGCAGAATTTATAAAATTAGGAGCTGGCTTAAGTAATACATGTTTTTATTTCCACCGTGGAGGACAAAAAGGTGTCAAAGTTGCCGGGCCTTAAACCTCCTGTGTGTTCAAGGCTTTTATGAAAACACTGAATAAAAATTGCTTCTGTGAAAAAAATCAAAATTTACAGTTCAGTATTCAATATTACATAAACTACATACAAAGTGTCTTTGATTGGCAGAGATGCAGAAATGTGTGCATGTACCACAGAGCCATGGCTCAGTGTCCTAGTATCTAAGTACTCCGACTTCAATGTGTTCATGAAGCCATTTACAATTCTTGTTTGAGCTGCTGCTCACCACAAGCAAGCGCAGGCATACATTTTGGACTTTTCACAAGTCTTACAGCTTTTCCTACTGATAAAAACTTCCCTTATAGCCATGCATACTACACAAAGTAATTAAGCAATAAACAGTAAAATAACAGAAACCTTCCTGTTTCTATTTTCTACTACAGAAATTTTAGTTTTGATTAGTAAGGTACCAACCTTAGGATTAGTAGATGACCTGATCTACCTCCTGAGTTACAGCCAGGCCTTAAAAATCTGACAAATATGGTGTCTAATCAGGATGGCATTAACTTGGATTCTAGTAACACTGTGAGGAATCCTGGAGTAGTTTTGACCAGGATATGTCCTTCAATGTGAACATTAAACAAATATGTAGGACTGCTTTCTTTAATCAGCACAGGGCAGGGATAGCTCAGTAGGTAGAGTGGTGGCCCTCAATCCATTTTGGACAGAGAGGACAGATGGTTTGAAAGAGGAGTGAAAGAAGCATCTATGTCCACTGTGAGCGACCATCTTTGAACAGAGGCGGGGCTTACGACACCAACTCTCTGCCATCTATAATCCAGTTCTGAGATCCCTTCCCAGACGCCTTAACGCCCACTCACATCCTGGGCCAGCTGACCTCAGGAATTCGCATGATAAGGTGGGGCCAGGTTTCACAATGAGCTCACCCGAAACTCTGGCTGATTGGGACCCACACCCAGTTTCACACCTTGGCTCAGGCGATTAGAGGATCATCAGGGGTCCTTTTGTCCCTCTGTGGGGGGAAACTCCCACTAGGTTTATATCTGGGACTCTCCACCATTTGACCTTAGAACTGAAGAAGCTTCTCGGATGAGAGGTGAAACGTCTTCAAGCAACTTAAAGAAGTCCAGACACTTTTCTTTGTAAGCTCCTTTGACTACGATGACCTGGATGACTGAGAACCTTCACAGACAAAGAGGGAGCATATTTCACCCATACTGGCTTCTCTTCGATGGCTCCCTGTTACATCAAGAATTGAATTTAACCCTTGTGTTGTCCTTGGGACATTTTTGTCCCTGAGGTGTAAGGAAATCGGGGGGACATTATGAGGGTTACATTCACCACACGTGAATTTGTTTAGTATGTAAAAGATGGATGAAGCCACTGTGATGTCATCCAGTGGTCTTTGGACTGTTTGTTTTATGGAGATAACTGTTTAATCTCAGTTTGCTGCTTCATTTGGTCCCATTTCATTAACCCTCACAATGTCCTCCTGATTTCCATACACTTGTGGTCCTCAGGGACAAAAGGACAACACAGGGGTTAAGTAAATAAGTGATTTATTAAACGATGAAATACAGATTTAAACAGTTTAGTGGGGATGGGATAAAGTAAAGAGATGCACCTGAATCTAGGCGAGTGGCTCCAGCAGATCCCAGGAACAACATCTGAGATCTCTGTCCACAAGAGCACAGTCCATTAACAGCAAAGATACTGCTCAGGACCCTCAAGCTCCCAGGCCTCTCGGAAAGGACCCCCAAAAGACCAAAGGATAGATAGAATGTATATAAAAAGCATGACATTAAGAAGTGCAAGTTGAAATTGCAGGAAGTAATTTCAACATTAGTGGATGGAGACAGGGTGGGTTTAATGTGTGTGGGAGCAGAGGGTCTCTGAGGTGTGCTTATTGTTGTTGGTGACTGTGATTATTATTATTTTAATGTGAGAAAGTGGTTTATGGAAGTTATATAGTGATGTATTAGCAAATGTGAGGAGTTCAAGAGATTAAAAAGAAGTAGCTGGTTCCTTATCACAGCATGAAGCGCTCCCAGTATGGAAAGTCATCATGTTTATAGAGGGTCATCTATTCTATAGGGAGTGCATAGTGTGGCGTAGGTCAGCACAAGCTTAACTAAAAGGTCACGAGCAGCCTCTCCTCCAGTTTATTCCTCTTTAAAACACCTCATACCTATATACAGACAAATGGAAAAACTTCTAAACCGCAGGTTAAAGTAGTAAGGACTGGACCAAGGAGGAATTACAAGCCTGCTACGCCTACACAGCCTGGAGTGTTTTTGAAGCTGCAACCAAGAGGGGGGGGACCAGAAACCAGAGGTCCAGAAACAAGCTGAGCAAGGAGATCAGGGTAACTAAAGGAGTTACAGTGAAAAGCTAGAAAACAGCTTCTTAGCTAATGACCGTGCATCAGCTTTAAGAGTTGTGAGAGTGCCTGTGCTGTATATATGTATGATCTATAGCAATCAGAAATATTGTGTGAAGGCCAAGAAAAATGCCCGAACAATGTTTTTTCCCAAGTGGATCATCACGGCTTTTGCCTTCCTTCTATCTTAGTCCTGAGTCTGTTGACTCAGTGGTTTTGATTATTATTATCTTATGTTTCAGGTTAATTCTTAAGGCTTTCTTGTTCTTAGGGTTTGGTTTCTGTTTTGTATTTTGAGCGCCTTTGGTTCTGTGTCTCTGTGCCTGCCCTGGTCCCACGTCTGTGTTCCCTCCTTGTTGCCATGTCTGATGTCTTTGCGTTAGTCTTACGTGTCTTGAGTTGAGTCTGCGTTGATTCCTGTGTCTCGTTAGCTTTGATTTGTACCTGCTGTGTTATCACCTGTTCCCCATCCTCTTGTTGTCCGTCTGTATTTAAACCATGTGGTTCTCTCTGTCTGTGCCACATCGTCAACGTCCTCCATGTTCTGGTGAAGTTCTAGTTCCCAGTTCTGCTCTCCTAGTCTATGCTTCCTAGTTCTAGTTTCCTGAGTCTAGTTAGTTTTAGTTTGTGTTTGAGGTTCTTCGTTTGTTTTTTGTAAAGTTTACTTCTAACAAAGAGTGAGTCCACATCCTGCCCACACACAGCACTAGCCTGACACCTTCCTTCTTTCACATAATGGTATGATCCCAGTCATGACCTGCTCCAAATGACATGGCTCGTGCTTTCTTGGCATATATAATTTTTGATCACTGCTTGTTTGAATCCGAATTATTAAGCTTCGTTTCAGCATAACTGTGGTCAGCACAGTAGCGAGCTCTTTTTGATGACACCGGTTTTATTTCCTGCAGTTTGAGAGCCACCAGTTTAACCACTTAAATGTAAGAGAAGAGACTCACCTTGTGTCTGAGTGTAGGAATGATTCTCTCATAGAATTCAGGATGGGGATGAGCCTCCTGAGATCAAACCAAACAAGTCATAATTAATGAAAAAACTACAGTGCATGTACAGTACACACACACACACACACACACACACACACACACACACACACACACATATATATGTTTGCAATAGCTTGATATTTGAAAGTATGTCCTGTTAATATATCTCTCCCAAAGATGGAACATTCATTCTCCTATCTGATGACGAGCCACTCTCCATGCTGCATCATAATTGACTCGTGTTCCTCAAACCAAACATCATAAAAGGAGTTGAGCGGTTCATTTCATCCACAGAGTTGCTTCACTTGATGCAGTCAGTATAAAGTCCTCCAGGAAGTGATGGTGATGAGTCAACAACTAAGTTATATTTCTTTTTCTTGTTTTGAAGCGTTGGCCATAATTGCTGTTGCTGGGAAATGTGATGCCAAGATTGATGGATATACTTCTGCTCTTTTATAAGGTAATTCAAATATTAAGGTGGTTATAATAATTTGTTACGTCATCTTCATAGCTATATACACTGTCACCACCAAAAAAAGGTCACAAACTTTAATATTTCGTTGGACCGCCTTTAGCTGTGATTACGGCACGCATTCGCTATGGCATTGTCTCCATAAGCTTCTGCACTGTTACAAGATTTATTTCCATCTATAATTTTTCACCAAGAACTGCTTTGCTTTGAGGATGATAGAGTCTGACTGCTGCGCAAAGCCTTCTCCAGCACATCCCAAAGATTCTCAATGGGGTAAAGGTCTGGATTCTGTGGTGGCCAATCTATGTGTGAAAATAATGTCTCATGCTCCCAGAACCATCTTTCACAATTTGAGCCCGATGAATCCTGGCATTGTCATCTTGGAATATGCCCGTGCCATCAGGAAAGAGTATAGTATAGTCAGTATATTCAGGTAGTCAGCTGACCTGTTTTGGAGCACATCGTGGCTCAAGAGTTGGGAGTTCGCCTTGTAATCGGAAGGTTGCCGGTTCGAGCCCCGGCTTGGACAGTCTCGGTCGTTGTGTCCTTGGGCAAGACACTTCACCCGTTGCCTACTGGTGGTGGTCAGAGGGCCCGGTGGCGCCAGTGTCCGGCAGCCTCGCCTCTGTCAGGCACCCCAGGGTGGCTGTGGCTACAATGTAGCTTGCCATCACCAGTGTGAGAATGGGTGGATGACTGAGTAGTGTAAAGCGCTTTGGGGTCCTTAAAGCGCTATATAAATACAGGCCATTTACCACATACTGTTGGTGAACCTCGACCTGACCAACCAGACCCCGATCATAGCACTGCCCCCACAGGCTTGTACAGTAGACACCAGGCATGATGGGTGCATCACTTCATCTGCCTCTCTTCTTACCCTGATGTGTCCATCACTCTGAAACAAGGTAAATCTGGACTCATCAGACCATATGACCTTCTTCCATTGCTCCAGAGTCCAACCTTTATGCCCCCTAGCAAAGGGAAGCCTTTTTTTCCGGTTTGCCTCACTGATTAGTTTTTTCTAGGCTACACAGCTGTTCAGGTCCCAATCCCTTGAGTTCCCTTCGCATTGTGCGCGTGGAAATGTCTTACTTTCACTATTAATCATAGCCCTGAGTTCTATGTGTTGTTTTTCTTTGATTTGACTTGAACGTGTAAGTGATCATGATCATTCAGGATTTTTTTCCGGCCACATTTCTTCTTCTAAGACGATGGGTCCCCACTATCCTTCCACTTTTTTTATAATGCGTTGGACAGTTCTTAACCCAATTTTAGTAGTTTCTGCAATCTCCTTAGATGCTTTCTATGCTTGATGCATGCCAATGATTTGACCCTTTTTAAACACACAATCATCTTTTCCACGACCACAAGATGTGTCTTTCCACATAGTTGTTTATGAAATGAGAAGCAACTCATTGCATCAGTTAGGGTTAAATAACTTGTTGCCAACTGAAAGATAATCACCCACGCAGTAATTTTCAAGTAAGAGGCTCATACCTATTTGCTTAGTTAAATCTAGGTGGCAGCTTCTTTGTGTTAGGATGCCTGGGTCGTTGACCCAGGGTTTTTGAGTTTACGATATTATTTATACTGTCTAGTTTTTGGTTTCTTTGAGTTCTGTCTTATGGCTTATGTCTCTGTCTTCTTTAGTTGCTCTGTCTCCCCTATCACCTGCATCCCCTTGTCTAGTTCGCGTCTATGTGTATCTTAAGTTCCTATATCCCCGTGTTCAGTCAGTGTTTGTGTCTGCCCTGTTCCCACGTCTCTGTTCCCTCTGTAGTGCCTGCATGTGAGTCTGTGTTATGTGTTTCCTGTTTTACTTTGAAGGTCTCTGTCTTTTCTCAGTGTGTTCAGTTTACGCTTCTTTGGTCTCGTCAGTTCTGATTTGTCCCAGCTGTGTTTTCCTCCTGTTACTCATTCCCTGATTGCTCCCTCTGTGTATTTAAGCCGTGTTTCTCTGTGTCCGTGTCGCGATCTACCGTTTACTTTGCTGTGTGTTTTGCCTGTCCACCGGTGTAAGTTTATTTTGAGTTTTTTCCAGTTATGTCATGTTTGCGTTCAGCATTAAAGCTGTTTTTGTTTAAGTTCTGTCTCCGGAGTCTGCACCTTGGGTCCTATTCCTGCTTGCACACAGCCACACCTAACACTTTGGGGGCCAGTCAGTGTATATTGTAGGGTCTAACTTACAATATAAACGCCTTGAGGCGACTACTGTGTTGTGATTTGGTGCTGTATAAATAAAATTTGAATTGAAATATAAATAATAACATGAAATACTTTACTCTGGCTGCAGGTTATTCTGATGTCTGACGTAGAGTTTCCTTATCACAACCCTAGTTGTGTTGAAGTTTGGAGGAACTTCAACCAGAGTTTGAGGGTTAGAGCCAGACTGCTGAAGCAGCCAGCAGCACTCATACTCAGTGCAGGGCTCGCAAAATCGCAAACCCAACGTCCCGGGGCTAGCAATTTTTCCAGTCGGGCTACCAAAATCCATCTCAGCCCTGCCTGTCAGGCTATCAAGGAAGGAAAAATATATGTCAATGCTTTTGCATTCTTTCGCAAATGTAGCTGGGTAATTATGTCATTGGCATTGATGAGCCACTGTCAACATATTGAAATCGCGTTTGACTTTACGCTAGTTTTTTGCTTTCACTTTCACTTTGCGATCACGCAAACTGTGTATATGTCACACAGTGGAAAATTGTGTTTTTATATTTTGTTTTGGATCAGACTGTGTTGGTACAGGGTGTCGATTTTATTTGCATGATTTTATTGTAATAGTGATATTGCATGTTTGTTTATTGATATTCCTATTGCATGATTTTATCTCCATATTTATAGTGTGTGTTTAGTGTTGATTGAACAATATGCTTTTTTTTATTCCACTGTGGATTAAGCGGACAATTGTAGGCACCTGTGAGGTGGGGGCGTTCCCCGAGGTGGCCTATCAGCCGCCAAACTGACTTAAGGGAGATAGTGAGCGCAAAGACTGAAAGAGAGACACACGAAAAGTGAAGAGCTGGAAAACAAAACGTGTGCAAGCCAGCATATGAGAAGAAGGACCTCTGGCCTGACTGTGGGGCGCCACGAGACATTCGGCGATCGGCCAGCATAACCCGGCGATCCAGTCCCGACGGACAGAATAGCGACCGTGGGAGGCGACGCGTGAAATCCACAGTAGGGCAGGGGTACGCCTCTGCCTGCATCTGTGAGTATCGCTTTCCCACTGTTGGGCGCTAGGAGTAGCTTTGCCGGGGAAGGGTAACAGCGGCTGCGCCGACAACGTTGCTGGCCCGTGTCTGTTGTTTCAGGGCGGAGCTACGAGGGAGGCCGTGCGCGGGTGTGGAGAGTGGCTGGACTGCACGATCGCGCACCGTCAGGTGGAGATAGGAGCCTCCTCCCTGGTCTTCTGCTGGCGAGATTCCCCATCCCGGAAGAGGAGTTCCTCTCCTGTCTCTTTCAGCTCAGGAGAATTTGCCCGCGTGTTGCTGGACTGTGAGAATTAGGACCCTGGGGGGAGTTTTTAGCATAGGGAAAAACATTCATTTAGCTTTGTGTTTTTAGGTTATAATCATTCCGCCGGCAGGGTTTTTAGCAGGTTGCAAACACTATTTTTATTGTATACGGGGATTTTAGCTTGTATTTGGGGCTTCTGACTGTGTTTTATCCTGAAAATAAATGGTGTGTTTGAAGCCAGCTAAATTTCTGTGCTCTGAGCGCTGACCCACTCACTCCCCTTTCTGCTTGTATGTATACAGACGTGGTGGTGAAGATTTAGATCCACCAGTTTAGCGGCTACATATAGAGAGCGGCAGCACTGATTGGTGAGTGACAGATCAATTGCGCACCAATTCCTCTGGCATCGTCTTACCAATCGTTAGCTTACTATTCAAACGTGACAAGTGAAATCTCCTGCAGCAAGCTTAAACATGTCATAGAGGTTCATTGCGCAGAGAATCGCTGAGTTATGTAAGTACGTGTGTAAAAGCAGATGGAATTTACACAGGTATTTTAGTTCTGCTAGAGCCAAATAAGACAGGTCAGGGTGAAGAAGGGACAGCCAAAGAAAAGCTAACCACAAAACGGAAAAGTTATGACAAATCAGACTATAAGGCAAAAAGAAAGCGCAGCTTTTTTGGTTTCATGGACAAAAGAATTTCTGTGGCTGGAATATGACGAGCTAAATAACATGATGTTCTGCCAGGTGTGTTGTTGGTCCATTGATCGACAAGCGCCTTTGTTACTGGGACCAGTATTTTAAGAAAGACCCCATCAGAACCCATGAGAAATGCAAGAAATGCATTATTGCTCAGTCTGCAGTATCTTTCCCAGAACAAACACCAATTGCAAATAAACATACTAACAATAAACAATAAACACAGACTGATTCATGTCCTACAGTTCTTACAAGTTCATAGAAATTTCTGTTCAATTAGAACCAAGTATTTGAGTTGATGATTGTAATTTTTATATTGTAAATATTGTACTTTAATGCAGCGGTCTCCAACCTTTTTTGCGCCACGGACCGGCCTTTAAGGTG